AATTATTTTATAATTTAATTTTCGATTAATAATTTTTATGAAGATTATAAACTTTATTAAAAGTCAATCAATCATTTAATATATCAATATTTATTTTAATAATTTTAATGAAGATTATAAACCGATTATGAACGCACATATTTAGGAGGCTATACAATGCCTTCTTCCATAAGTTTATAATTACTTCCGCTCATTGGCTTTTGCATGTGAATTATGCCCAACATTCTGCCATTGCCATTATGACACAAAAGCGATGCCTTCAAGCATTCCAGTGCTGTCCTGACCCTGAACAACTCATGCCTCACGTCGCACAATTTTGATCCATTATTATACGCTTAGGTTGGCAGGAACTGTGTGAATGTCTAGTACTTGTATCACCTTTTCATTTACTCAAAAGGCACTTCAAATAATGTTTTAACTGAGCCTCAGAGTGGCCCGGCGGGCGGTGTGGCTGGCCCTGGCCCTGGCCGCCATCCCATGGCCAGTGGTAATAATAATCTGAACATCAATCTTCCGGAAAATAACAACGCAATACTCCGACTCGAAGTTGAGTTACGTGACAAGAATGTGCCCAAGTATCGACGCGGCGGCGGCGTGGGCGGCATGGCCGGCGCTGGGCGTGGCGCCAGTCCAGGACGCGGCGGGGCAGCAGCTGCTAAGAGGGTCGCGCCAGGTGGGCCAGGTGGTGGCGCTGCGAGTGGTACGCCCGCTGTGCCACTGGACAGACGTAATTTAGTGGTGCCGCTCGAGAAGGTGAGTCCACTGGGCAAGACTGGGCACCACTTAAAGCCAGCTGACTTGGGTGCGGAACGAGGGCGCTCGATGCCTGTTGTGCTGCGAATGCACTTAACCGGACGGAACGTGACTGAAGCACAGTGCACACTAGAGTGTGGGCTGGAAGTGGGTTGGGGAATGGGCGGGGCGGGGTGTTGACTTAACAATGTAAAATGGCGCTCAAATTGTCTCGGCTCGAGTCGAACGCAGATTTTGATGAATGAGCGTGGGTCAACGGCTGGACACCAGAACTAGAACTAGAAGCTCGAGTCGGAGTCCGAGTGAGGCTAAGTCCGATTCCGAGTCCGGATAATCAGCCAGATGAAGAAGCGCGAGCAGAGATTGATGGTCGCTGCTTTACAGTGTGAGCTCTACTACGGCCAGATTCAGATACAGATACAGATTCATAATCAGGGAGAGTCGCCTGCTTGTGTTTATTGTAAGTAGCTCAACTTGTTGTTTGCTTTCTCCGTCGCCAGGTACTCGAGGAGCTGCTTGCGAAGCTCGAAATTGAGCACGTCACTTGGACGACGAGCAAAAAAGGCTATTTCCATCACGTCGTTTTCCCGCTGCAGGCCGGCGATGCCTGCGAGACGACGCTCCACTGTCTAACGGAGCTGGGCATTGGCACCAAATTGAATTCCAGTGTCAGGTAAGTTGAGACATTGAAACACCGAACGGCAAGAGGCAGACGTGCCAGGCAAGTCAACAAGTCGCCCATGCTGCCGTGCAACAGCTGCTCCAAGTCCCATTCTCACTTCCATTTGCCAGCTGCAGCGCTCCTTCTGGCCGGTTATGTTTTAATAAAAAATGCAGCTTAAGCTCAGCCAACAGCCAGCGTCCATTGGCCAACGGGCAGTGCAGTTGCCAGGGTCTTAAGGGCTTGCCAACAAATGTTGGGTTCCTATTTCGATTGCCTCTGGGCGAAAATCACGTAGACGAGCTGCAGCTGAGCGACAGGCGGGCGTGTGGGCGTGTGGGCGTGCCGCAAATCGATTTGCCTGCCTGCAGCTGGACAGCCCCAGACGGAGAATTGAAACCAACCGCACAGGAGTGATAAAGGACGATGAAGCAACAAAAGCAGACGATGAAATGCAAATGGCTCGAAATTATGCTAAACTTAAATTTAGTTGAAGTTTAACTTATGCTCAAGCTGCTCAACCTGTCTGTCTGTGTGGGAGGCGCACTCTTGCCGTGAGGCGTGGCTGCTCTGATATATTATTTTAAAATTAACTCTTTTACAACTCAATTATCTACACCTAGCTCCGCCTTTCATCTCCCACTTTTCGTACCTCGTCTAATCGCACCTATGCATACTTTCTCACTCTTTACAAATCATGATTCGACTATCTTTCATCTCACTCTAGTCCATAATTTTTACTCCACTTATTCATCTCTTAGTCCTAGTCCATTTATCTCATCTAACTTCCGTAACAACTTATCTGATAATTAAAATTCCCTTGTTCGTTAGACCACTTTAAATATTCGATCTTATATATTATACTACGGGAAGACTCCTATTTAATTAACATTACAAATTCAATCAACATTTATACATATATAGAAAATTTCCGGCTAATAATTTCCGTTTCACATTATGAAAACTGTGATTTCAAAAATACGCCTTCCACTTAAGTATCCAAAATTTCAGATTTGTATGTTCTTTGTATTTCTTGTATCCAAGCTAATAAAGATAGTGTTATATGCAAAATAGAAATTATAAAGCCATATCTGTTAGATACACTGGTCGACAAAAGTATTTTGACTACTTTTAAATGAATAATTTTGTAATTTTTTATTTTGTTCTGTTTCCTTTTTACATTCAATCAATGGAAACTCAAAATTAAAACTACTAAATCGTGGTATTAAATTTTCAGGGTCCACTAGTTTTTTAAATTCCAAATTCAGTTTTTAAACTCATAAATTTGTTAGTTAAGGCTAAATTCAAGGCGTGGCAAATATTTTCACGAAATATTTGTACTAATATTTTTTTTTGTTTTCAACCCATTTTGAGCACAGTATAACAAACAAGTTTTACAGTTAACTCTAGCTGATATTCTTTGATATTATCAAAATACTTATGCCGCCCAGTGTCTGTGAGAAATTCCTTTCCTTTCGGAAAAATAATAATTTAGCCTGAAGCTGGTTTCGTTTTTCAAAAGCAGAATTCTTATTAAGACAACTGAGCTAATTGAAGGGGGCAGCACTCGAGTCGAGGCTCAATGCACTGCATGTCAAATGAGCTGCCATGAGAAGCCTTCCGCCCCTACCAGTCCCACCCACCGTTTAGCCAACGGGCTGCCTGCCTGGCCTTAAGTACAAAACAATGAAGCGCCTTAAGTAGCCCGTGCGAAACAAACGAAAGGTGGAACAGAGCAAGGGCGACTGCTGCGGGGGGGCAGGGACAGGCGGGCGAAGCAGGTGTGATAATCATTTAATGGCATTAAGAAGGTGCTTTAAATCAGTCCAGCAGGTGAGGAGTGGAGAGGGGAGGAGAGGCGGAGCGGAGGCAGCTCTGTGTATGTGGGATGGATTCGATGAGAAAAGTGATATTTAAGCTGTTTAATGTGCACAGAATGCAATTAAGTGCAGTCAGATACTTTGGAGCAGCTGCAGCTGCCGCCCTGCAGGCAACAACAACAACAACAACAACAACTTGCTGACAGTCGGACTGGCCAAGTCAACTAAGTGCACAATGCCACACGCATGACTTGCCGCTGCAGCTGCAGCTGCAAAAATATTTCCATATTCAAATGCATATCCTGCAGCACTTCAATCTGCACTCTCTGCTCTCTTTGTCTCGTTCACAGCGTCCTGCCGTGCAGCGTTAGCTACGATGCCATAACGGATGCCTCCAACCTGCGCGATGATTACAGGTGAGTGAAGTGGAGGGCAGCAGCTCAAGTCTAGAGTCTGGCAACGGAATCCAAATTAGAGCAGGTGCTGGTGCAGGAGTAGGATTTGCAGGCAGAGCGGGAGCAGGAGCCGACCTAGCAGTCGGAGGAGTAGGAGCAGGAGTCGCTGCATGAGCATGCATTTCCTTTGTGGCTGCTGACTGCTCGCCTGTACAGTTTTAATTTAAGCACCTTTGTCTGGCTGAGACACGTGTGCGATACGACAAGACTCGACTCGACTTGGCCTGGCTTGGCTTGGCTTGCCCTTTGCAAAAACTAATTTGAGCGCCCTCTTTGATTCCTTTTTGTGGGCACGTAGCAAAGGCGTCTGTCATTTCATTTACTTTCACCCGTTGTCTTTCACTTTCGGCGGCTTTGTTTGTTGCTCTGGCCGCTGGCACTGCGACAAGTAGGTCGCCGACTCTCTCTATTTATCTCTCTCTCTCTCTCTTTCACACTCCCATCCCCATCGAGCCATCGAACTTGGCCCCTGTCCAAATTCTGTGAGCATTGTGCCAGCGCCTCGAGCAAAACGATTTAGGTACCTTAACCCTGTCGAAAGGTTAAATGCATTTGCTCAGTGCACGTAATTTATGACTTTGCATTCGTTTACATGCAATTTTCTCGTGCCATTTTGCTTGAATGCAGAGCGACATGCATTTAAGATAAACAACAAAATTCGTTTATGTTGAGTTTGGCTCGGAGATTTATGGTCGAAAGGCCATCGAAACTGTTTTTGCCACAGCTTATGATCTCTATTAAGACAATCATCCATAATACTGCATTAATTATGATGCCAATTTCAAGCAGAATTTATCAAGCCAATATGTTTATATATTAAAATTAACTCTGGCTAAATGCAAATAAACGAAAGCATGTTTCTTAGCCAAGTTAATATACTCCAGTTCATCCAGTGGCCTGTCCATCATTTCGTTTGCCTTTCCATGTGGTTTTATCATTTATAGATTTTATATATGTACATATAGCTAATAATAATTTGTTATATGTATAGCTTAATAGAACATATAGATTTTAATTATGTATAGCTCTCTCTAGGTCATGCTAAATCGAATTTGTTTCAAATTATCGATTTGCTATGAGTTCGATAATTATATAAATCAAACTTCAATGCCTGCCTATAATTTGATTCACTTATATGATCCTTTAAAAATAATAGAGAATCCTCTATTTGAATACTTTCCAAATATTTACAACAATCTGCACAAATCATTTCTATAGAGAGAAAGACTTGGAGGAGTCCCTTAAAGATGGGAAATCGGACTATAATTAACGGAAATACAAGCATAAGGTAGTGGGCGTGGCAAGCCGAACAAAGTATGTATATTCCGAGCGTCAAGCTGAGTCGATCTAGCTAAGTCTGTCTGTTCATCTGAACAAATTCATAAATCTATCCATATATATAGCTTTAAGCCAGCTACAACTAGCCAACTTCTTGCAGTAAAAATTCGCTACAAATAGGGCAAACTAATCTAGACTTAATGTTTTCAATTAGACAATTGCACAAGTGTTTTGAATGGCTGCCATAAATAACTGTCATTAGGTTTTATGCACACCAAATGGTGTTTATTTATTGAAATTGAAATTGATATTGTTGCAGCGATGATGCCGAGGATACCTCCAAGTGGAACAACTTTGTGGAATCGATAAAGTCCAAGCTGACCGTGAAACAGGTCGTGGATGGCGTGCGAGCTGGTGGCTCCCTCTCCTTTGACTACTTGCTGCTAATTGTAACCGCCGAGTGAGTACAGAGCCGAGATGTGAGACTCAAGGCAAAGCTAATGTTAGTGTGTGCTGTCTCCCTCCCTCCCTCTCTCTCTCTCTCTCTCTCTCTCTCTCTCTCTCTGTCTCTCTCTCTCTCTGTGTGTGGTTGCATCTTGCAGCTCTTTGGCCGCTCTGGGTCTGGTCGAGAATAATTCACCGAATATTGTTGCGGCCATGTTGGTATCCCCGCTTATGGGTCCCGTTATGTCAATTACATTTGGCGCAATTATCTCGGACAGAGAGCTAATGGTAAGTGGAGCAGCAGCAGCAGCAGCAGCTGTTGCTATAGCAGATATTTGCTGCGGTTGGCCAAAGCCATTTCGATTCGCTTTTGTGTTCCGTTCACATTTCTGTCCGTCTGTCTGTCTCTGGCAGTCAGCACATTCTGAGCGGGCCCTTTGCCCAAACGTCGCACAACAACAACAAAATAGAAATATAACGTAAAAAACAAATAGGGATCGAGTCAAAAATTGAATGCAGTTTTGTCGAGGCCCATTCGCAGCACACTTTGGCGCTTTGTGGACTGATTTATGTATGGAAAAGTGACAGATGAAAATAATAAAAGCCAAGCGACGAAAATTGTTATGCCAGCTCGTTGGCAGCTCGTTTGGCCGCCTCTCCTCCTTTCCCCCTGCCAGATGCAAATGGAAATGAAAGGCTAGGCTGTCAGCTCTCACCTCCCGCCTCCCGTCTCTTGCCTCCCATCTGCCACCCCGTTCATCTGACATCTCCCATTTAGACCCGCGAGAACGACAATATTTTCGGCGAATTTGTTACAAATTCTCAACACTTTTGTGGTAGCACTCGTCGCGCGTTTTGAGTTCTTTATTGACAGCTCTCTGATGTATGTATGTATGTGTATAGAAATGGGTTCCGCAAAGCTCTCCCTCGCCCTCTCTATTAAGAATATGCCCTCCGCGCTGAGCAACTAATTGCATGCATAGCTTTACCTTAGTGAGTGTATGGAGTCGGGGGACCTATTCAATATTTGATTTCTTTTCATTCAAGTCAGTTGGGAGCTGTGCGAGACAGCCCAAAGCTAATATTAAAATTCATACAAATGCAGTTGCTTGGAGTAAACTGAAAAATAGAAAAAAATGCAMAAAAAAAAAAAAAAAAATGGTAGAATAATATCAGAGACTTATATAAGTCTAGAAAGTCCAATTTAAAAAAATCAATTTTAATCGAACTAAAAATTTGATATGTTATAAGCGTTATTCCTTACTTTTTTTTTTGCTGTGTCAATTCGTAGCTTGAGCATTTATATTTCTAATAATCGCTTAGGTTTTCTATGCATTTTACTAATTTTAAATCAGCCTCTTTAAGACTCTCCACACATCGTTCTCCGTCTTTTCCTAAGCATATTTCTGACATGCAATCACTATTCTATTAGCTGCCATTGTCTTTGAATTTATGGAGAATAACCTTTGTTATCAGTAAATTTGATATGTTCATAGCTTTATGTGTGAAACTGACACACAAACTGACTTTTGAAGGCTAGAAATATTGCCTTACATATGCATACACATATGTTTACATACATATATATGTACATACATTACATACAAAATGGACTGAACAGCCCGAGGTAATCGCATTTAATAAGTAATTACCGTGTTTTCATTAACTTCTTGATATTTGCCTATAATTTGACATTAATAGCTTTTTTAGTAGTGTCAAAATGATTAACATTATTTATGAATTAATTAATGATTTTCTTAACTTAGTTATCTTTGTCCATCAATTATTTCTTTAAACGCACTTGAACACTGGTTTCCATACTGACAGACGAAGGCAAATGCGCAGCAGACGTTCGCTCATGTGTGTGTGTGCACTCTCTGAGTAAATGAGCTTAGGCTTAAGAGCTGAGCTCGCAAATAACTGTTAACCGTTTCTCGTTGTAAGCAAATTTCATCCACTCACACTCTGAGTAAAAAGAGCTCAGAGAGCATTCCATTGCATCGGTTCATTAGCGAGCTCGTTGGCGATCGTGTTGTCGTTCGTTTGAAGAGTAAAAGTAAATCGTAAAGCGTCTTTTGTGTATGTATGTATGTCGGCGAGTGCTCGCTCAACATATTAAATGCGTGAGTGAACTGTGTGCATGTGCTTGTGAGTTTGAATGTAAAGAGCGTTTGCATTGCGTCTTTGTTCACTCACTGAGTCCCGTTGTGCGAACGTTAATCGTAACGATGTTCGTTAAAAGAGCATCACACGAATAGCCTAAGCCAAGGCGCTCAATAGAAGATAAAAGCGAAAAGAAGTGAGCTCTCTTGCTGAGAGCGAGAACGAAGAGAGTGTAGATATGCTAGAGAGCGATGAGTAGATTGATAGCAAACTCATAAATACATACATATATGTATGTACACATCTGTATTCATATATTATTTATTCTATATCTGTATCAGATCAAATATCTGCAGACTTTAAGAGAAGTTGAAAGGTATTCTTTACTCTTTTGTGAATCAGAATAAAATTCTCAAAGCTCATAGGAGTTTACCTACGGATGTTATCTACATGTATGATTTATTATACTTAAAGTAACTCCAACTCAAGCATAGGAAACCTTTTGTTGCTCCTAAGACAACCTCTTTTAATTTAACTTGAAAGCTTTTTCCTTTGAATTGAGTCTGGTGTGAATTTGACAGTTTCTATTCACATTTTATTTATCTTGAAAACAGCCCCAGCCAGGAGTCGAGCTATTTATAAAGAACTCGAAATCATTTGTGTAGCATTCAGCACTTATTTTCTAACTAATCTACACGGGCTTAGCACACGAATTGCTCAGCTTCCGCCTAGTAAATATTTTGCCTAATTCATACGGATAAATGGGATTAATTTTATTCCACCTACAGCTACTTTTGCCGGTGCTCGCTGAGGTGTTGCTGGCCCACGAAGTTCTAAGAAATTTTTGCTATTTATACAACTCGAGCTCTGTTTACTATCTATAAATAAGAGCCTGCCGAGCCAAGAGTTCATCGTCTGACCAGAGACATAAGCTACTTAAATTAAAAGAAAGAAACCACTCAAGGATTTATCCAAACTCGACGCAAATAAAACTTAACGTCAACTGCAGCACTTGCGTTTCCTATCTCTGTCTCTCTCTCGCTCTCTATCTCTCTTTTATCTCTATCTATCTCTATCTGTATCTCAATCTGTGTCTCAGTCTGTAGTGTTTCCGTTGCCATAAATGTCAACCAGCAGCATGAAGCAAGCATTTGAATTCTGTGGCGGCGCTAGATAAAAGATATTTCGGGTCTGTGTCCGCTGAAGTACTTTATAAATTTCACAGGTGTGCGCCGTGTGCTAAACACATTCACAACGTGTAAGACATCATAATTGAAAGTAAATAGAAGCTGCCGAAAAAAAGTGAAATAAAATAAAATAAAGGAAGAGAAAAGAAAACACAAATATAAGGCAAACACGTTTGCCGGCGCTTTTAATGACTGCGGCTCAGACGCCCTCACCGCCGCCTGCCTAACCCAGCTCACCCCGGCTCACCCTTGGGGCAACTTGGGCTGTCTGCTGACACCATTTTGCAGACACCACACACACACACATACACACACACACATGTAGCTCTAAGCACATGTCTTGTTGGTTGTCGTGTACTTCAATTAAATTTTAATTGAAATGAATATACGAGCATATTTTGTCGCAATTTTTGTGCTGCTTGTGAAGTAGCCTTAGTTGCAGCAGCCACAGTAGGGTGGCCCAAGCATAAGGTAGAAAAAATAATACATAAATATTTGTTACATTTTGTTACATTTTGTTCAGTTAGGCTGCCTCAAGGCAAAAATATAACTCTGAAAAATATCTGCAAATATATTGTGAATGTTTCTGTTAGTGAGCCACCCTAATCGAAGCGTTGGTAAATTAAAATGCAACATTTTCTTATTTCATGATTTTAAGCACAAAAATATAAAGTGCCATTGGACAGAGCGAAAGAGACAGCCAGTGAACGAGTTTAGTTTAGTGTTTTTTTTTTTTTTTTGTAAATATTTGAAAAAGTCATTTTGAAAATGTTGTGAAAAGCGTTTAAACTATTTCACACAAAAATGCCAATTACTCGGCCCAGCGGGCACATCAAAATCGAGAGCCCTACGCAAAATATGCAAAATATTTAAAAATATGTGGAAAAAAAACAAAAAACAATTGCAATTTTAAAAGGAACGCACAAAGAAATAAAAATTTTGGCAAATAATCATAAAGTTTTGGCAAAATGAAAACTAAATGTTTTGTCCTTATGGCATAAATGTTTATGGGAGCAGCTGTCAGGAGTCGTTAAATGTTATTGAAATGCACTTTTTGTTTTTTGTTTTTTGTGCAGCTGCAGGCAGTAAACACAACACACACACACACACACGCACATGAAATGAATGCGTATGCAAGCTATAAAATATTTGCACGCCATTTAAAGTTGTTGCAATTGCTTTACACATTACTCATACGCCCAGTGAGCCGCTGGCGGGTTGTTTACACGCAGCTGTACCTGCAAGTGAAAGGTGAGCGCTGGCAGGAGGCGGGGGGACTGTCGGGGTGGCTGACACCCCAAAGACAACGAAAAACATCAGCAGAGAAACTTACAAGTCTTCTCCTTGCACTTTGCTTTAATGCCTCTTGGCAAATGGAGCTGTGGCAGGCGCTTTAAATGCAGTTTACTTTCAAGTTTTTAACTCGGCAAATTTAAGCAGTTGGCAGTTTGCATTGAGGGTTGAGGTTGGACCAGAAGACGATGACGACGACGACGATGTCGTTGGCGACATCATCTGGCTGACATTAGAACATTTTCCTTTTGTGTATGCAGCTGCCAAAAGCAGTTTATGCTGCGTGGCTGCAAATTTGGGTTAACATGTCACGCACCCACTCGCTGCGCTTCTCGCTGCCCTAACGTCGCATTTCCCTTTCGCTCTCTGACAGTCCCTCTCTCACCCCTCCCCCTCTCCCTCTCCATCATTCAATGCACACTGCAAACTATGCTACATTATCGCTTAAAGTGTCGCTGACTGGCGTCAGTTGGCATTCCCTTCCTCTCTCTCTCTCTCTCTCGCCCTCTCTCACTCTTTGGTCATCTATCTATCTCTGTCAGTGGCTGTGTCTCCCTTACACCATGTTGCAGCACAACGAACAAATTTAATATCTACCATTTCTTATCTCAAGCGAAAGCTGAGACAATTATTGATTCTCTACAAAGACGCAAAGGCTCTCAGAATATATATGAAACTTTACCAGATATAGATCTAGAGCGGAATCAATATTGATTAGTGAGAGTCTGGCTGTTTAGACTTACAGTTTGCTGACACTATTTTATTTGTATAAAATTCTATTTCAATAAATATAAAAATGTAGATTCTTAATGCAAAAAAA